ATTAATTTGAAAACAAAATAAATAACAACATAACATCTCATCATAATGAGATAAAGTTCGTCCCTGGCCCATTGACAAATGAATTAAATGGTAAATTGAATTGTACAAGTTGTTTAAGACTAAAGCTGGAAAATACTTCAATTGAGGTTTTTCTTCAGTATGATTATAATTTTTGGTTATTTTTATGAATAAGATTATAATTTTTGGTTATCTTATAATGTGTTGTTTCAAAGTTTTGGCATATCTGAAAAGTGTTTTTTTTACAAATACAGTTAAAAATTTAATAGCAAAGATTAACGTCTCTTTAGTTATAAAGATTTTTGACAGGTTATTTGGCCCTATATAAACGGTTGTTTTATTCATAATACAACAAGCATCGTATGTTGCGAGAATAGTAAGATGGATTTTTTCATAAGCAGCAGCCGTGTAAATAAAACTATATAAACGTCACTATTATCAAATGAAAAGCGACAATACAAACGTGCAGTATTATAAAAAAATATTACCCTTTCTATAGTGGCTAATTTCTGCCATGTCGTTACTTCGTCTTGTCGCTGTAGAAGGTGCGACAACACGAAATAACGACACAATTATTATTTATTGTTTCGTCGTAGCTTCGTGTCGACGGCCTCCAAACGCAACATTACAGCAAAACGGAAAAATGAAAGTGCCATTACGAGATTTAAATGCGACAACACGAAGATGCGTGTTGGTTACCTATAATGGCGTTATCTAGTGCCGTCGCCTTTGCATTCAACATAAGTGACAACACGAAAGAACGATGAAATGTTAATTTTTTTTCAGCGTGTTGTTCCCTGCCGCTAAGCATGCATGCACGTTTTCAATATATGCCTTTTCACTACAACGAATCAAAATAATCCATGGATATAATAACATGGTAAATTATATCGGGATTATATCCTTTAAATTGTTTTTTTCTCTATTAAATAGTACTAATTTTGTGGTATTCTCGCATTTTTTATACACAAAATGCAATAATGATGGACGCATAGTAGGCGCATGCTTAGCGGCAGGCGACACATGCCAAAACGAAATTAACATTTACCGTATAAAATCAGGTAATATATCCATATATATTACTCCAAAACCCAAATAACATATTATATAAAGGTCACGTTTATTCAATGAAAGTCGGCGGTAAAGACGTGCAGTATATTAAAACGCAAATGGAGTCAAGTCAAAATATATGCAAGGCCGTGCATTACCATTTTTAAGGAGCCGCAAAAACGGCACGGGTATGTGATAATGTAAACAAAAAAATTGCAAGGTTTTTCGTTCAAATGCTTTGTAATATATCACTCAGGTTCTGTAATTAGCTTAAAAAAAATAAATAAACTCAAACAACTTGATCGACAATTTCAATATTCGCTTTGCGAACGGTAGAACAACCATTTTTTCAACCGACCAGTGAAGCCTTTAAAGAACGTTACTATTAGAATCTCTGAGGCGAGAACAAATTTAACCTCCAACAATATAGCCCAACTATAATTTAATTTGCATGACGTTTTAGAATGAAATAACAAGAGGGCCATGATGGCCCAAAGTCGCTCACCTGTATATAGGCCCCCCGGAGCGGGGCCAGTTCAAACATCAAGGCTTTTATTTGAACAAACTTGGTTGACACCCATTAGAAGATGTTTCATGCTAAACATCTAAGGTCTAGCTTATTGGGTTTTCTAAAAGAAGATTTTTTATATATATATCTATCTATATATATATCTATCTATCTATATATATATATATATGTATACATATATATATATATGTGTGTGTGTGTGTATGTATAATATATATATATATATATATATATATATATATATATATATATATATATATATATATATATATATATTATATATATTATATACATATATATATATATATATATATATATATATATATATATATATGTATATATATATATATATATATATATATATATATATATATATATATGTATATTTATAATATGTATATATCTAAAAAAAAAGTCGAGCTAATGAATGACCCCAAGGGCCAATTTTGACCCCAGGGCTCTTATTTGAACAAACTTGGTAGACACCCATTAGAAGATGTTTTATGCTTAATATCTTAGCTCTAGCTCTTTGGGTTGTTTAAAAGAAGATTTTTTAAGTTTTTACTATATACATATAGGGAAAATCAATGACCCCCAGGGCGGGGCCGATTTTGATTCTAGGAACAAAATTTGAACAACTTTGGTTTTGGATCTATAGATGATACCATAGACAAAATATCAAAGCTCTAGGCCATTTACTTTCAGACCATAAGATTTTTCAAGTTTTCACTATATGTATATATGAAAATCAATGACCCCCGAGGGCGGGGCCAATTTTGACCCGAGGGCCATTATTTTGAACAATTTTGGTAGAGGTCTACCACACAATGTTTCATGCCAAATATCTTACCTGTAGCCTTTGCCAATTCAGAGAAGAAGATTTTTTTATGTTTTACTATATACATATTTAGAAACCTATGACCCCCCGGGGCGGGGCCAATTTTGACACTAGGGGACAAAATTTGTACAAATTTGGTATTGACCTTCAGATGATACCATAGACCAAATATCAAAAGCTCTAGGCCATTTACTTTCAGACCAGAAGATTTTTTTCAAGTTTGCACTATATGTATGTAATGAAATCAATGAACCCCCGGGGCGGGACCAATTTTGACCCTAGGGCCATTATTTGAACAATCTTGATAGAGGTCTACTACACAATGTTTCATGCCAAATATCTAATCTGTAGCCTTTGCCAAATCAGAGAAGAACATTTTTTTTAGATTTTACTAAATACATATAAGGAAAAACCTATGACCCCCGGGGCGGGGCCAATTTTTTACACTAGGGACAAAATTTGAACAACTTTGGTAGAGGACCCATAGATGATACCATATACCAAAAATCAAAGCTCTAGGCCATTTACTTTCAAACCAGAAGATTTTTCAAGTTTTCACTATATGTATGTAATGAAAATCAATGACCCCCCAGGGCGGGGCCAATTTTGACCCTAGGGCCATTATTTGAAACAATCTTGATAGAGGTCTACTACACAATGTTTCATGCCAAATATCTAATCTGTAGCCTTTGCCAAATCAGAGAAGAAGATTTTTTTAGATTTACCTATAGACATATATAGGAAAAACCTATGACTCCCCGGGGCGGGGCCAATTTTGACACTAGGGACAAAATTTGAACAACTTTGGTAGAGGACCCATAGATGATACCATATACCAAAAATCAAAGCTCTGGCCTATGTACTTTCAGACAAGAAGATTTTTTAATCTTGTGTTTTTTGAAATCCTTTTTTGGCCCTGTGACCTACATATGCAACAGACCGGAACCATTTGAACAACTTTGAAAGTGGACCACCCAAGGATCATTTCTGCAAAGTTTGGTTGATGTGCAGTCATTGGTTTCAGAGGAGATGTTGTTTATGTGAAAAGTTGACGACGCACGACGCACGACGCACGACACACGACGCACGACGCACGACGACGCACGACGGACACAGGGTGATCACAATAGCTCACCCTGAGCATTGCTCAGGTGAGCTAAAAAACTGATCTTGAGTGATCTTTGTTATACATACGGTATATCGTTCAGATATTTGTAATTAATCAGCCAGGCATTCGGTCTTCATGATTATATAACTGCTCATTTGAACCGTGCATACTATAGCACAGATGACTCAAAATCAAGACCTATTATCTAATTTAAGTTCATTTTCTTACCTAACTTTATACAACTCGATTGCCTAAGAGCATAAAGGTCTTTGTACGATACGATTTTTTTTCTATAGAAACGAATGTTGTAGTTCGTGCATGCGCATTCTGCGTAGGGCAAAAGTCAATATTTGTTTTTCGTAAATACAAAATTTTTGGGCAAAATTCACATTCTATTTTTCATTTTCTACAATGACATTCAAACTTGCGTACGCTTTGTATATGTTAAGTTATGATAATCAGAAGAAAGCCACGTGTTTACAGCGGTCACATTTGTCAGTACCACGTTGCCAATTTCGTCCTTCATGTTGTCTGGAGAAGAATTCGCCACATAATCGACATTTATTTTCTATATGAGGTATAAATTTGACTATAAAAAGTTATTTTAAAATGCAGAGTTAGAAAATCTTTTAAATCTTTTATCAGGACAGAGTGTTACATAAACGAGTAAACAAATTATAAAAATATTGACCTCAAACCTTTTTGAGGATGTACAATATATAACTAATAACTGTGTACGCAGTCTTTTGATTTTTTTTAGATTATACGCAAAATCATAATGTGTATTTTCTTTAAAAAATGCGTTTTAAGATTTTTTTTATTTCGTATACAGGAAAAAGAACAGATTGAAAATATGTTTTTGAAATAGATTCTACAATAAACTAACCTAAAGTCGACTGAAAATTTAAGTTTAATCGACAATTTCTCAATGTCTGTAACATTTCAACGCCAGGTGTACACACCCAGCAGGCACTCGACGTTGTTTCAACGTTGAAACAACGTTGAAATACGGTCGTGACGTTGTTCAACCAATATTCAACTATGGACAACCATACGGATATAATGCCAATGTATATACAACGTTGATTCAACGTTGTTTATGGTCGAAGTTTTACATTTAGTTTAATCATTATATAAACTTTTATACCACTAACTTTGTGATATTATTCCTTTATTGAATTAGTCTGTAAGTGATTTTTGTCAGGAAAATTTGCGTTACAATCTTTTTCCGTATATTCAAAATTAGCGCTTAAACAAATAAAGTTGGAAATAATTTTTCACTTTCTATCAACGCTTTAAATATTAGTTAATATGTTTTGTTGTTTGTTGTTTTATTTTTTAGTTCTTTATGAATAATATTAATTAATAAATTGATATTATAGTCAAAACCCCGTTTATAAAATAACCCTGGTCAGGGGAAGTAATTGTTGCGGGTCTATGATTTTGTTTGTTGCCTATGATTATCGTTCGTGCAAATGGTGGCGCTGTTTGGAAAATTTGAAAACAACACGATTGGCATTTTATATGGATTTCGAAGGTATTACCGTTATGTTTTACTTTAGTTTACTGATTATTTTCTAAATTATTATTATTTATTCTTTAAATTCTACTTTAATTTGCTTTCTGAAATAAATGAGAGATGAAAACACATGATTGTGTTGATTTGACACGTTTTCGCGACCTAATTGGGTTCGGTAGGCCTTGTAAGCATTAAGTTATTGATGTCCTTGGCAATTTTATGATTTTACAAATCTTGTCTTTCTTTAATTTATTTTTCATATTAGTAAACATATGTCTGTACTATATCCTATTTAGAATTTAATCAATTTAAAAATTGAAACCTATAAAGTAGTTTGGCCCACTTAATTTACGTCCCAAGACGATTCGTCAAATATATATAACTATGTTTTTATTTTAGTGATAGTATAATACAGTGTTAATTAGTTTGAAAAAAACAACATTATTATTAAGTTAAATAACAAATTTGAGTGTTAAAGTTTAATAGTCGTAAATTTATGGGGAATAATAAATCTACTTCTATTTTATTATATATTATTTTATATTCTAGATCCTAGTCCTGGCTGAAATTTAGAGTATTGCAGCTGTAGCCTGTATACCATACATTCAACATGAAAAGGACTGTCAGGTTTGTTAAATTGAAATTTATTCTTATTATATAATATTAATTTATATATTTGAATTTCTTTACAATACAAAGTATAAATTTTTCAACTACTGGATATTTATCTTGTCTTAAAATATTTTTTTTTCGGAATATTCCTGTAACATTATTAATATAAAATTTACATGTTTGTTGATTTCAGGATGCTGCATAAAATGGTCTTAGCTATAGCCTAGAATGTTAATTTCTTGGGAATATGCTGCAAGGAACTGACGGGGAGCAGTTTTTCTTACCAATCATAGGTGAGACTTTTAAATAGCTTCTTTTAAAAAGATTTTGTTGTCTTATATACAGTATTTGCTGTCAATATCAAACTTAGCTATGTTTCAATTTCTATGCCGTTTTATGATGTAAATCTTAGAGAGATAAAAACAAATCACTAAGTTGAGTAATAATATGTATAATTTGAGATTGACCAAGTCACTTTTAACTACAAACTTCTTATTTTTATTTGCAGAAGCAGTAAGAGACAGCCAAAGAAGTACTCAAACACTTGTCATACCCAGAAAGATCTAGAAGAAAAGATTTTAACAGATTGTAGCTTAATTGTTAAAACTATTAAAGTGAATTTAAGCTGCACTTGAACTGTATTTTTGAAATAAAATATCTGAAGTATTTAATATTGTCTTGATATTTTGTTAAACTTGGTTACTTTGCTTTATATCCAAATATTAAAGTATGGTGGGTTTTCAACGTTGAAATGACATTGAAACTTCAACGTTGTGCCAACGTTGAAGCTGCAACGTTGTATCAACGTTGAAATTTCAACGTTGTTTCAACTTTCAAATCCGAATATAAATCCAACCTTATTTCAACGTTGAAATCTGACTATAATTCAACGTTGAAACAACGTTGATGTGCCTGCTGGGCAGTATCCAGAATCAAAATCAGAACCCTTTTTAAATCAAACCAAAATAAAAGGCGCATGTGTGACAGCACTTTACTATATGAAAGGCGACTATTAAAGTTTGGAAGCCAGGACTATATCCGCAGGGCCCTATCGAAATCTTCTCAGAAATCACAAAACTTTAAAGCAGCACCCCTCCAGATTAATGTTGTTTCTCATGAAAATTTTGAAAATGCATTTAAAAGTATAGTATTGTGAAGTAACCAAATGAAAACAATTTACACATGATAAATTTTCCCACGTATATTAGAAAAAGATGTTCAAATATGAAAAAGTGGTCACCGTTACTAACGCAGTATAAATATAGTTATAAATACTGAAAAATCAGTCATTAATCGCACATTATATATGAATTACTATTTAAATGTTGGATCTTTTTACTTATTCTAAAATATTAGCACATTTTTTTCTAGTTTTATCTTATTGAAACTTTTTAGCTCATCTGGAGCCATAAAGCTCTAAAGTCTAAAAGTTAACAAATGAATAGATTAAAAGTTCAGATGTCTTATCACAATGCAATGCGTTAGCTCTTACATCGACGCGTCTGTCCATATGGAAAACAGTTCCCATTTACGTAGGGACAACAATTCACACATGATTGAATCTAAATTTTCAAAATGTTTATCAAGAATGAACAAATATAACGAAAGAAGAAGAAAAGCGTTATCATATAACATTACAATAACTAAGTTGTCTAAAAGAGTAGATCAGTATATACAATATGAACACAACTTAACATTGAATTCCATTTATTTGTGCGGTGTTTTTAGATAAACATTGATATTCAATGATTTCATTTGTTGAAATTTACATTATTGTATACATCTACGTTATGAATGTTTGAAAGAAGTCACCCTTTGTTTGTCTGTATAGAAACATCCTCTAATAATTCAAAACCTAACTACAAAAACTTACACCCGGAGCACAAAGTCAAATTACATTTAGATATTCAAATTGAACAACTGTCACGTAAAGTATAATGCTTGTTTATTCATTAATATTTAAACGAATGTATTGCATTTTTTCTTTTCTTAAAAATGAATTCTCTGTGAGAAATCGCCTTTGAAATATTAAGATAAAGTCAACATATGCAAAAAGAAATATACTATACATGTATTATTTATAAATAGAAACAAACTATTACAATTTGGTAACTTCTCAAACTTTTTTATTTATATCATTGCATATCTGTTTTTAAGTCTTTTTATTATTATATTTTAAGGTACTGAAGTATCAAATAATTGAACGTTTTCCAACTTACCTTTTATGTTAGTAAACAGAAGTGCAATTGATAATTCTACATGCAAAATTTCATATATCCTTGCCATAACAGCTTTCACTAAAAGTACGCCGGCAATACATTGTTGCATGTCGCGTGTGTTATTATATATAACTTATGATATCATCTAGATTACCTGTGGGAAATATGGACATTTTTTCTCCAATTCAACACATAATTTTGATTTTCAATCCATTTTAATGAACGGAATCACGATCTTTATGATCTAGTTTTCAAGTTTTTTACGTAATTTATACACTGCTTTTCAGCTTTTAACTTGATCAATTACTTGTTTGTGGTATATTATGCCACAAGGGTAATTCCTTTGAAAACGATTTATTGATAAAATGAAACAATTAAGACGTATCATTTAGCATCTGGTTGTAATATACATATCAAATTATCGTAGAAAATTATGGAATTAATAGCAGACTATTTTGTTGTTGTCTTTCTAATTTGTAATTAATCTTTGTTTCTTATGTGCTGTATCGCTTTCATCTAAACGAATAAAACGTTCAAAACTGATTATTTGTTTGCAGAAATGATTAGTGTATATGGGTTTTGTTGCTTTGAGAATATATAAATCTATGATCTTTATGATCTTGATTTCAATTTTTTTTTACATAATTTATATACTGCTTTTCATCTTTTAACTTGATCACTTTACATGTTTGTGGTATGTTACGCCATGATTATTATCATGCGCTTTGTGCCAGATAGCTCAATATGCGATTTGTTTCATGACGCTTTTTTATGACAATTCTTGTCAAAATTATTTTTATTTTGCATTTCTAAAATCACCAGTTGATTTCAACAATTATATACTAAATATAGCTTTCCCATTGTAATGTTAGACATGAAATACTGAAATTTTTAAAGACAAAATAACTGCGAACTAACTTAATCTTAGCAAGACCTTGTTGAAACACCTGCATATGTTTCCTTATTCTCATTGAATACCATGTTCATGTTTTACTACTTAATTCTGCTGAAACCGGTAATAAGGACTGAGGATTGTAGCTTTCATTTACCACTTTAGTTCATGATCAGGCCAAGTCTAACCAAGCTTGAAACAGTTTTAGCTCTACCTTGGCTCTTCCATCCATCAATCCAACCGTCTCGGATTAAAGAGCAATGGACCCAAATAAAACCAATAGGCATCAGCTTTCAATGTTTTTATTCTTTTCAAAATAAAATAACATGTTTTTTGTCCGTTTAGTTATTCATTTTTAATAAAGATATGCCGTATGTTTTTTTTTTATTTTTGATAAAATTTCAATCACCGTGGCATTTTCAGAGGATTCTTTTTGCAAAGGAAATACATTTTTTGTAGAAATTATTTATCTTTTTGTTTTTAGGTGAGGCCAATACACATGCAATAAAAAAACTGACTCCAAGTAACAAGTGATCATTGATTTTTGAAAATTTATGCTTCATTTTATATAAATACATGCAAGTAAACAAGACTCCCTTTTTACAGTCTCAAAAATGACAACTAAAACCAGTGTCCATGTGTAGAACTGAAATCAAAGTCATCTTTGGAGATCATATATTAACGAGTTATGAAAAATTGAAAGACTTTTAATATCTAGATTTTTGTCCACAATGGTTTGAATTCGAAACGGTTCTAAAACTTTTTAAAAACACAGTCATACCTTTTCTTTGCATACCTTAACCGTTTTCTTGTGATAAAACACTTATACTTACTGCCGGAGGAGTCCCCCATTACTCAAGTTTATCAGGACAATTTGTTTTATATTTTGTTTACTTAAAGATTCAGGTTTGCAGGTTTTTGACACGTTTGTTGGTTCAGTTCTCAGTTATTCAATTGCTGTTTGAGGATTTTCAAAATCAAACGACATCGAGTGATTACATCTTTCAATCAGTATAAGGAATGAAAGAGGGTACTATAGAGAAAGTAGTTAAACAATAAATTTATACACAAGAACATGAACAGAATTATATTTCCAATGCAATCTTGCTTCATCCTTAAAGACTCAATTGTAAATCAACTTGTATTTATCTGTAGTACTCTTTGTAAGGCACCGGACAATGGCCTTAATCTCAGATAGTATTTTTGTGACATAGCTAAGAGTTCGATAATGTTTCTGTCTGTTTCCATGGTTTCGAAAGTGTAAACTTAAGTAAAATGCTGACATGAAACCTTAAATATTCCATTCAAGGTTACAAACAAATACAGCTCAATAAAATATAATCTTTTGCGAAATATATAATATATTATATATATTCTACAATATCGTGAATGTGGTAAAAATATAAACTTACTTGCATTATAACTTTTCTGAATGTCGGCGATTTAATACAAATAGACAAAAATATTGAAAAGGCTTAACAGGTTCAACGTTACACTGAACTCGAATATTTTATGTTTTTGTAACCCAAAACCAAAACGACACAGGTGAATAATTAGCTAGAGGACTATTTCCCCCGGTCTTATGCTTTCCTTTGAATATATGATGTGTATATATTACTAATAAAGAAATAAGTATGTTTAATCTATTTTCTAAATAGTTTTTGATTGGAATAGCAACAATAGTGTTAAAATGGTTTAATGGAACTGTACAATGTTTGGTTGTCAAGTCGACGACAGAATAGATTTAATTGTCAGAAAATACAACAACAAATCTAAAAAAAAATTCTTTGAAAGAATTTTTAGAATAAAATTGATAACGAACACGGATTGGTTATCAGCAAGACACCTAGCAGTTTCACACACATGCAAATTAAAACGGTGCCAGTTAACATTTTGTTTTTATTTTCTTAAGGAAAGATTTTAACAAGTAGAAATCTATAGTATATACAAGTACAGTAAATACACAACAACAACTACGAAATATAGTATGAAGCATAAGATTCCGTAGAATAGAAATAGGTATAAGTTATGTAGTATTAATATACTAGTATAATGAGTTAAATTTGAATAATAGAACAAAGAGTTTTAAAACTGGTTATATGTGACATTTATCAAAAATAATTTCTGACAATTATCAAGTTGTGATTTTAAAACAATATTTTTCATGTATCTATCGGCTACAAAATATACTTATTATTATAAACTAAATTTCATTTTCAAACACAATTTTCCATTCTATCATTTTGCTGGTTATATTCCTTAAACTGAGATTTTTACAGACTTAACCTGACAATTTACACTGACAGAACTCGTCCAATTTAGAAAATTTTAAACAATTTTATAACATCAATGTCTATATTAAGTATTTCTTCTGTTTGTTTATGTTTCTCCAAATTGATCTGATGCGGATGCAGCATTGAGGTAATCTGTTCCATAGTACATCATTTGTCTCAGAGCTAGAAGTATTAAGATTTCAAGGTGGGCGTCCCTTCCCATTTCATCTTCGTAATTCTTTATAGGGAAAATATTGTTTTTCTAAAACAAAACAAAAAGATGTTTATATATATATATTTATATATACAAAGGCATGAATTTAAACGTTTGTTTACATATAACGTCAGAATGAAAATGTTCAAATTTCTTTTTGACACAGTAATATAATTTCTTAAAAAATCATTACAAAATTGTCAAAGTTTAAACACATTTTTACGGAATTTTCTAAATTAAAATTCAACCAGTTTCTTGTTTAAATGCTTTAATCGGAATAACAGTATGCAGACACTGAAATCATCTATGAAGAGGCGTTACCAAACGGGTCGGTTGTGTCTGTCAGGTTTTTCATACAGATTTGCGTATTGTGAACAAACTTTAAAAAAAACTATTTTTTATAAGATATAGTTTTATACCCTTTGAAAAGTAATACGCCTCGATTCAAATGTTACTTTTAAATCAAGTGTAATTCTTAATTCGTTTTTTGTAAATGGTATTAGAGCACAGGTAACTATTACAAGTCTATTCACATGACAAATTCATAGTTACTTTTCATTTTAAAGACAACTGCAAAATAAACGGCAGACCTTTTGATTTGACTAACCGTTATTTTATTTAGTAAGCACATTTCATATCGATATACAAATACAATTGAAGTAGTTATAAGTAGTTGCATTTATTTGCAATCATTTACAATTTGCAAAATTGATCAGACAAATATGTCTCATGCATAAATGTCAAACCCAAGTCGAATATATCAAATGTGTGTCTCATGTTTGATTTGTGACATAAAGTGTTAAGCACAAGTTTTGTATTTACCGGAACACTATATAACTCCTTGGCTATATCAACCGCCTGCTTAACTTTTTCACTCATATAGGTATTTTGTATATCATTTGCCACACATTCACACAGAACATCAATCTTGGTCAATAATACAATTGTTGCAACATCTGTAAATAAAACAAATATTAACAATCTTTCTTCATCGTTTAAACAAAAAGTATAATTCATATTTTACGTTACAAAAACTACATACGTATGAGTGCACTCAAAAACATCTTTTAAACTTTGACCATAAATTAGCTGTTTGTTTGTTTCATTTTACGCCTTTTCCCAACAATATTTCAGCCATATAGGCGGGTAGTTTCCTTACCATCGTTCCTGGAGAGTTTCAACAGTACTAGACTACCTTCCTCCGTGCTAAACTACCAAAGCATCTCCCGGGGATGGAACCCACGTCAATGAGGTAACTGGATTAGATGTCATCGACTCTAATCCCTCGACCACGGAGGCGGTTATTAGCTGCAAGGTTTTTCTGAGATATGTCTTGACTTTAAACTTGTATTTTATCTTTTTATTCAGGATAAGTTATAATACATATAACAGAATAACAACAACAAAATCAGAAAAAAAACGAAACAACAACAATTTTCAACACTGTCATACTCAGCAGAAAAAAACACATAATATGTTGATAATTCTCAAAACGCAGATACTACTGTTTGAAACAAGAACCGGTTGAACCGGGTAATTTCCCCGAGAAGGTTCTGGACACTGGAAAGTATAAAAAATGCACAAAGGGCAAAAACTCCAAAATTAGGCAAGGTGGAGTTATGTTTTTTTGCACTGCACTTCTATTCAATGAGATCTATCTATCTATAAAGTTTCCTGATGATATCAGAGTTATGTCGCGGGTAAAATTCAAAGTGTAAAAATGAACAAAGGGCAATAACTCCAAAATTAGACCAGGCTTTGTTTAGGTTCTTTAAGCATTGCAGTTCTATCCAATTATATCTAGCTACCTACACTGTTTCATGTTGATATCTCTAATAGTTTTAAAGTTATGTCCCGGACAAAAGTCAAAAAGTAAAAATAAACAAAGGGAAATAGCTTCAAAATAAGGCAAGGCAGAGTAATGATTCTTAAGCACTGCACTTCCATCCAATGAGACCTATCTTTCTACAAAGTTTCATGTCGATATCTCTTATAATTTTAGAGTAATGTTCCGGACAAAGTTCAAAGTGTCAAAATGAACAAAGGGCAATAACACCAAAAATAGGCATGACAGTGTTACAGTTCTTGTGCACTGCAAACCTACTTAATGAGATCTGTCTACCTACAAAGTTTCATTTTGATACCTCTCATAGTTAAGAGTTATGTCCAGGACAATGAGATCTTTCCACCTACAAAATTTCATGTTGATACCACTTATAGTTTTAGAGTTATGTCCCAGACAAAGTTCAAAGTGTAAAATAAACAAAGGGGGATAATTCAAAAATTAAGCAAGGCAAAGTTACTGTTTTTTGTGCACTGCACACCTACTCAATGAGATCTATCTATCTACAAAGTTTCATGTTGATACCTTTTATACTTTTAGAGTTATGTCCCGGACAAAGTTCAAAGTGTAAAAATAAACAAAGGGGGATAATTCAAAAATTAGGCAAGGCAGAGTTACGGTTCTTGTTCACTGCACACCTACTCAATGAGATCTATCTACCTACAAAGTTTCATGTTGATACCTCTTATACTTTTAGAGTTATGTCCCGGACAAAGTTCAAAGTGTAAAATAAACAAAGGGGGATAATTAAAAAAAAAGGCAAGGCAGAGTTACGGTTCTTGTGCACTGCACACCTCCTCAATGAGATTTATCTACCTACAACGTTTCATGTTGATACCTCATATACTTATACTTTTAGAGTTATGTCCCGGACAAAGTTCAAAGTGTAAAATAAACAAAGGGGAATAATTCAAAAATTAGGCAAGGCAGAGTTACGGTTCTTGTGCACTGCACACCTCCTCAATGAAATCTATCTACCTACAAAGTTTCATGTTGATACCTCTTGTTGTTTCAAAGTTATGTCCCGGACAAGAAAAGGGGACGGACGGACGGACGGAAAGACGGACGGACAAGGCGGCGACTATATGCTCCCCCGTAATTTTTTCGGGGAGCATAATAAATCAAAGAGTTGAATATAGTCATAGGGCGTAGGCTTGCAATTACCACTACTTTCCATAGCTGGCTCAATCAAACCGAGTTTGCAACAGATTTAATTTTGCCAATTTGGGCAGACATGCACTTACTTAATAGGATCTCGTTCGTTTATTTTCAATTGACATGCTCATACTGTATCACTTTCAAATTAAATTAAACGGATACCGTGTGAGCGTAATTCAGCTTGTAGTTCCTTTAGTTTTTGCCTTGTTTCAACTGTTATGTTATCATGTCCAAGAATATTAGCGTCCGCTACAAAGACAATGCAGTTTACCAAATCGCCTTTTTTGGGGTCTTGTCTGAAATCAGTACTTTCCTTTTCGATGGGAGATGCAGGATTAAACTTAAATGAGATAATAATAAATAAAATGTAAATATATAGACAGATAGATAGATAAGTTGAAAGGTATAAAAAATGAGATAATGTGTCATTTCTATTCACATTTCGACTGTTTTGATAATTATACTGATTTTTCATAGTCTACAGGTTTTGTTTTTCAGTCTAAACCGTAAAGATCCTGTAACTCAATTTTTTATGGTTTTATATCATAAATATGGTATTACCGAATTTACATTTCATGTAAATAGAGGGAGGTAATATAAATTATAAGCCAAAATGTTCAAAGAAATGAATAAATATATTTTAATAAAAACAAAAAATGCATTAAACATTTGCAGTGCATATTTAATATATTCTTGGATATTTGGAAATTGTTTTAGAAGAAATAAACAACATGCATGATCTTTTACCATTTATTCATAAACAAATTGTTTTTCTTAAATAATTCATGCACATATAAAAGTTAAGGCAATTCACGAGCAAGACCGGTTATCCTAACTATGTGGGTATTTATGTGAAAAAAAAATTTAATCGTATGATATCAGATTCTATCCGGTCCATGTCAACAGTTGTAGTTGACATGGCTGGAATGAATTGAAATCAGCATTTAATTTCTGAAGGCAAATCGGTACTTGAAGATTCTATTTCACTACAGAACTAAGACATTGAACCCTAAACGGCATAGAAAGTCACAGTCGATTTTTCATTTTTTAAATATGTCTTTAAATTTGATAACATATGTTTTATATAGAACTAAAAGTTATAACAAAGACAAATTATTTGACACTGTTGGCCAACCTTGTAATTACGACGGATATTTCCATTAACTAGTTGTACAATATCCTTCACATTCAATCCTCCAGCGCCTTCCTCGTAACCCATCGTATCTAACATGCAAATGGTTTTCTTTAAAGCTCCCGACGGTCTATACTCCTTTAGCTGCAGTTAGTAAAGTACTGTACGTTGAGTTTAAGTATAATAAAATCTTAATTTTCAGTGATAAAGGTGACTTTAACACATGGGTTATTTTTCAAAAAGACAATGGAAATTAGAGTCAATTAATATATACATCATACCTCAAAAACTAAAGCTTTTTCCTTGGCTTCCCACATTTAGCATCCTTCAGTATAACGTCCGTTTAGATATAATTTTGCTTATCTAAACATGACGATATATATGTATAAAATATGTAACAGTTATATATTGTACAAAACGTTTTTATTCATACATTTTGTATGAGATTTGGAGTATAAACCTAGAACATATGATTGAAAAAGCGTCCAATCTTATAAAACACAATCTCTCTAGACATGCACGTTAAAAGATTTATACCATTTTTTACTACAGTGTGTAGCGACAATGGTAGAACGTAAACAACATTATTACTTTTTAAAGAGATACCTGAGATGTTCTGTTACATGACTGAATCGGAAGTAAAATCTCAAGATAATTGTTCCATTTCATGTAAGTCTAGACCAATAACGTTTGTGTTAAATTTCATTAGCTCATGCAGTTCTTCGATTACGCCACATATTTATAATGTCTACAACAAAAGTGTGCCTGTCTAGATACATAATATGACGTTCCAATATACGTCAGAAATGCTATAGTTTTTATTTGTTCCAAACTTTCTTTTTTACATTATGTTTAAATTTCACCGTACTGTAAACGCAGCGCTATTTTCCTCAGCTGATAAACATCAAACATGATCTAAATTAATTATTAAAATCTTATGTAACACAAATTTGACATTTAAGAACAATTTAAGAACTATATATTTCTGAGATATAATGTAACATTACAAGACATAAATCGTTCCAATAGACATTTGAATTATTCTTATACGTTTTATATAATGAACAATAAGATACCGCAAATGTCAGACTTTTGTCAGCTCCTCCAGCACGTGTAATTTGTGTAATTCGCTCTATGTCTATTGAAGCTACTGTGTTTACAAACGATGATTTACCAGCTTTGATTTGACCCAACAGCATAATCCGAATGGTATCAATTCCTTCTTCTTTAATGTCGTGCTCATTTATTTGTCCTAAAAGCTTTTTATGGTACTTTCAATGAAATAAAAACAACATATTTGTATTTGTGGTATTGTGTCACATTAAAGCTGCATTGCACAAATATAAAATACATGTACATGTACCTATATTTTATTAATAAAATTATTTTGGTATCAACTTTCATGATTGTTTTTGTTTGTGACAAGGGGGCCAAAATGAGTTTTATTAGCGGGAAAGTTTGTAATTTTCTTGTGGCGAAATCTGATGTACAATTAATAAGCATGTGAAACTTCCAAAGTATAAGAAGCTTTAAGGAGCTGTACGCAGTAAACGGCATATTTCCGCATTAATAACGGATAATTTCATAGATATTTTATCCTCTTTTGTTCGTTGATTACTCTGTTGTAACCAATAGGCCTTAGTGCATCGCGAAGCCATAACGGTGAAATTGATTAGATCGGAAAATCGCGCACTTGCAGTGTTTACGCTAACAATATGATAATTGAATTTTTGAAAAGTTTAAAACTGTGATGTTGTGATTACCTGTGCGTAGCTCAATTAATTTGCATGTCAGTATTTATTTTAAAATCTAAATATCTAAACAATATATGGTAAGATTACAACAATACTCATTAAACTCTTCATATAACTGTAGAATGCTTGGTTTCTTGGCCGACGGAAACATTTTACTTATTAATCAAATGCAGCTTTAATGATACTTAAGTATTCACTTCTCGAAAACCATAAGACATGTAAGAACGTCAATTGTTCATTTATGGTATTGGATTTCTTTAGATAATTTCATCTGTTTATTTATTAAAGTAGGCACTTTTAATATATAACGAGGTTTCACAGGAATCGAATATTTTTGATGCAGCATACTGTCTTTGAATTAATATACATGTATATGAATAGAGAATATTACATAAGGATATATTCAAAACGAGACGACACGTATAACAAAGTAAATGAATATGATAATGCACGAGTTTAGTGTAAGGAAATAAAGCAAACGAGTAGACTTTCAAAAATATCATTTTAGCACGTTTGCGAACTGCCATGTCTCTTTTTGTCGGCTTTAGCGGTATACAATCTTTAAAACCAATTTGATAGGGAAAGCATATATATTATAATCCAGGAACCATTGCTGCAAAATTCGGTCGATTTGAAATTTCTCTATTACAGTTGATCAAATGGCCATTTTTCTCCCAGCGCCATTTCAGAAAACACATGATATAAGTAGTCGGACATTTGCGGAAAATTGATAATTATAGTTATACAGGATAGACAATTTGGCGGACGACCGCCGTGATAAGATGCATGATAGATGTTAACATAACAATCGTTAATACTATTGGTAGGATACGTAACCCACCTTTGAAGTCCAGTCTCCACCAGGTTCAAATTTCCTCCAAGGTTTTTCCAGAAGACCAGGGCTATTCGTTTGTGCTTAAACCAAAAATATTTAATGAAAGGCATGTCATTCCAACATATGAAAAAGGAATATAAAGTGTATTGAAATGACAAATATAGGACAAATGACCGAAACTTCATTTTCAGTAAGATATTTTAATAAGCATACTATATGAGCATTAGATGGCAAACGAAAAAAAAAATGACAACACGTAATGAAATGTTTTAAAAATACGACGAGATGGTATGCTCTATTTTGTCTTGTATCTCCATTGTAATTAAAACTGTTTTTAGAGTTATGCAACATGCACGTAGATATTTCACCCATCTGTTAGCTGGACCGTACGGTGGCAAATAGGTGAAATGTGTGTATTTTAATTTATCTCGTGGCCACGAGATACTTTGTCGTGGTCACGAGTTACTAAGTCGTGGCCACGAGATAGCTAAGTTGTGGCCACGAGATACTAAGTCGTGACCACGAGTTACTAAGTCGTGGCCACGAGTTACTAAGTCGTGGCCACGAGATAGCTAAGTCGTGGCCACGAGATACTATGTCGTGGCCACGACTTACAAACTTATTATTATGTCATCTACTAATCAGGTGCAATGATCTTTCTGAGTTATATAAACCATGGCTTATCCCTTCTTAATTATTCATCAGAAAAGGATTTTACCTTATAGGCTATCTACTGTCCATGGGCAATGTCCCTTACAAATAAAATAAACTAGGCCTTATTCCTTCTCATGTTATCGTATAAACAAGGTTAACAGGCCCTAGTACGTTCAAACTGACCAATTCGATCACAAAATTGTCCCAACAAATAGCTATAGTCAAAATTAATGTCTGATGGGCCTTGGAAGGTGACTTTCTAATATGATCCTTAAGACAAATTCAAAGTAAATATCTTCAGTATTTCCAAATATTAATGTTGCATGTAAAAGTAAGTTGATAAATTTAAAAAAAATCATAATATATCATATGTATAGTGTATTCTGAATAGTTAATTATCTCGTGGCCACGTCTTAAGCTTTCTCGTGGCCACGACATAGTATCTCGTGGCCACGACATAGTATCTCGTGGCCACGACTTAGCTATCTCGTGGCCACGACATAGTATCTCGTGGCCACGACTTAGTAACTCGTGGCCACGACATGATATCTCTTGGCCACGACTTAGCTGTCACGTGGCCACGACTAAGTAACTCGTGGCCACGACATAGTATCTCGTGGCCACGACTTAGCTATCTCGTGGCCACGACTTAGTAACTCGTGGCCACGACATAGTATCTCGTAGCCACGACATAGCTATCTCGTGGCCACGACTTAGTGACTCTTGGCCACGACATAGTATCTCGTGGCCACGAAATAAATAAAAGTACACACATGTTACCTTTATGCCACCGTAGGACCGGATGAATTCAATATATGGTTTAGGAAAAGTATTTTATTTTTATGATATACGGCATAATATAATACAGTGTTGAAAATTTTTTTAATTACCTTGCCTGTTCCTGTCGGAGCCAGACCCCTTTTGTTTGAACAATTTAAACTGAAATATACATATAAGATCCAATGAAAGACATTCAAAATAAAAAAACCACTGCCCTAACTACGCTTTAAAAGTGAAGAAAATATACATTTTACATAAGTTCTACTGTCCGTATATCATTGAAAATTCATAATAACCGACTGATAAAATAATGTTTTTTTTTCTAGTTTCTTTTAAGTTACTTGTAAATTAAATTAGAAATAAATTAAATTGATTATTTCAATCAATTATTTTATTATAATAATTTTTTTTCGTTCTTCGTGTTAAGTAAAATAAAGAAAAAAACAACACATCCCAAATAAAAAAGGCCCCTCTGCTTAAACATAGTTTTGAAAACAAAGAAAAAATACCTTCTTCATATGTCCTTCTGTCAGTGTATCATGCAAAATTTATAAAAAAAAAAACAACAAAAAACCGACTATAAGATAACAAAGTTTCAATATTTCTTAAGTATTTTATGATAATATATTTCCACCGGTTGTGATTTAAGGGAAAGATCTATGCATGTGGTAAGTTCTTTTGATTTATGGGTTTGCATACGATATGCAGTGTTCAGTTCATTCATCATATTTAAATCATACACGCTGAACACAGTGTTATAGTTTTTGCTTTGTTTTATAAATCATTACAAAATAAACAAATATCAAAGAATCAGAACTATCAGTATTATTTACCTTTGGGTTTATTGATAGACACATTTAATTTCAGGATTTTAATATTTGAACAATGACAATACGAACGAGTGAGCAACACAATTATAATCAACAAGTACTCAAGTCCTAAAATCAACATGAATGTGTATCAAAGATAAAGTGTTAAGTAAAACACTGTTCACCATGAATTCTATTATATAACGTTATTACCAAGATACTTTAGAAAGCTGTTAAGACCCGAATAGAAATTTTCATAAACGACAAAAGAAAAAATGCTGTTTCTACGTTAAGACTACGTCTGACGATAAAATATTCTGTTAACATAATCTTAAACTAGCCACTAAGAATAGCAAAGTAATTTTATAAGTCTTCTTCCGTTTACTGTTTTGATCAGTTGCATTAAATAAAATTTGAAAGAGGCACAGGAATACCTGTGCAAATATTGTTCAATGAGTAAGCTTTTCCAACAGATAGATAAAGTAATTTATCTCTCTAAAGTAGACAGATTTACACGGGCTTATCAAACATGGAATGTTTGTTTAATGTTATAAAACGTATCATGTATGTTTGCCAACACATAAATAATATGGCGATTTTAGGTGGTTTTTTTGCTTGATGTAAAAAAGGAAAACATGAATTTTGAAATCTATGATATGACACTTTTGACTTAAATTAAAATATCATTCTAGTATATTTAATTCATTGGATAAAATGGGTGGTTCACCCTCATGTGTAAGTTGTCTTTAAAATTATTTATTATAACTTTTTTTGAAATTTTAAAAAATTATATCTTAGATTTGTTTAGAATATGTTTATACAATCATCTTGCAATTTATCTTTATTCTATAATAAACACATGATACTGGTTTGTTTTAGGCGTCTTTCAAATGATAATACAATGGAATAAGTAATATAGTTTGGTAAACGATATGACATCTGCAATAAGATAGCGTGAAGCTTCGAACCCACACTAAGGAATAGTCTTTGTAGCTTAATATTCATAGAAATACAAGCTACGCATGAAATTTGCTTCTTTTTCAGGTTAGTGCAAAGTCCACTAAAAAGGAAACTATTCAAGAGATTTATAAATGGGTAAGTTGAATTCTTGCTTGTAGAAAACGATAATGAAAAGACGTTTAAAACAATATTTTCGTAAAAGATATCATGAACTCATATTTCATCCATTATTGTTGCTAACTGTTGCACTGCTAAAACAATTTCGTAGAAAAAACAATCCGGGTTTATGTTTTAGTTTATACCTTGACAAATGAGCGATACATATTTAGTGAACTTTATATACACTTTATCCGAGTGAAAAGTTATTTCAATAACTCCCCTTGTTGATGAGGAATTGCCTTTGAGGGTGAGACATCAGAATTTCAGCCACCGATTTACCCTGCTCGTTCGAACTACCGGAGACTAAGAGCTTCAGCAGGTGAGGCGGTTTGTATCATTGGTGTTACTTTTAAGTCAGTAATTCCTGGGGTTAGCCAAATCAGCTTTCCTTTTCAGGCGCAACACTTTATAATCTGCATGTTTTAAAATGTAATAGTATTTGCCGGTCTAAAAACGAATTTATAATTAGGTAATTTATTTCCCGTTTCCCGCTGGCATGTTGTAAACCTATCAACACAGCAGCAGTAATTTATTTTTATTCGATCATAACCTATATTTCAAAAAATAGAAGCTTGTGAATATATCGTAGTTTTAATTCAGTTTCAGCAATTAGATCAACAGTCAGATGATGTACAAATTGTAGTACCAAGGAAACAGTTTAACCAATACTTCTCATACGTGAAGGTAACGCTTAAATAGAATATTAAACATAATCGTAAACAATCAACACAAATTTAATTGAATTGAAAATTTTACAATATTATTTTAATCTAAAATATGTAAATTACACTGATGTTCTTTTTGATAGCGATGATATAATTGATACCCAACCTGACGCAGGTGTTGCTTTCTTGGGAACTGTTATGCCTTTCTACGACTACACCGTGTTTGCACTGCGTACGCATGGCATTGTTTATAGATCTAGGGCGCCGTAAGGCCGATTGAAAAAAGAATAAAGTTTCCTTTTAAAAGGAAAGGCTTGCACAGTTGTGCCTTCATCCCAACCCTTTAAAATTGTTTTTTTTTTTTTTGGTTTCAATTTATTTTTAATTAGTTTTCAATTTATAATCACATTGTTTTGAATTGCGGTATTTGTATATCATAAAGGGTTTATTTAGTTGTTTTTTTTTTTTTTTTGGAAAACCGAATATTTTTTGTCAAAACGATTTGAAATCTATTCTCTATTGTATAAAACTAATAAAGAAAATGATCAATCGTAAAAATACTAACGTGATACTGAAGGAAAACAAGTGTGCACATTTCATTTCCCCTTTTTCGCAGCGAAATCATTCCTTTGCTTTATAGACAAGTAAATGCACTAAAATACTTCGTTACGTGGAACCAATTAATAAGCATGTATCAACTATGTTACACGATCACAAATAGACGATGCGCTATCTGTAGATCAGCACGTGGCAAGGTTAATGATATGCATGGGCTATTTTTAGATTACCTCACCAAGAAGTTGAATTAGGTTCATAACTCGATAATGCGTGATTTGGTAAGCAGGACCAGCCTTTGAAGACGGAATACTACTACAGTCACCATTCTCTATTGTATAAAACTAATACAGACAAAAAACAATTATAAAAGAAACTAACTTTTGCGTCTTGAAAAACAATTGAAACGGAACAATTTCGTTTATAATTTATTACGGTTTAAACCGATAAATCAAGTAAAAATAGAAATCCTATTTATATAAACAAACTGGGATTACCAAAGTAACTGAAATAGCTTAGATTTCCGTAATATTACTTCGTCTGATTCGTCTGATTCCGCAGTATGACGGAATCGCCCGAATTGTCACGATTGCAATCGGAACTACATCGGCTATTATCATTAATCCGAAGAGTGACGGAAAAGGCCGAAAAGTTGCGATTGGCACGATTGCAGCTGGTTTCCCGTTCAATCATGCACCAACAGATGTAAGCAGGAAACCACCTAACCGGAACAAGTTTTCCAAATGAAATGGCTTGCTGCCGTGGCTGCAAGCCAAAAAAGAAAAGAAAAGTCAAGTTATTCGTAAATATAAAGATGCTAACACGTTCTCACCGCGATCAAAGCGTTGCTAGAGATTTTCCGTAAAATCCTCGAGCGTTCATACTCCAGTACACTGACGGCATGTTTAATGCAGTGTCTCTGTAAAAGCACTATGTCGACAAACGCGTATGTAGTGAAAGTGAAGGCGTTGTGTTATGTGTTCATTGTGCAGCTATGCCGAACTTACAGCGACGACACCTTTGTGCTCCTATCGTAAAGTCGAGCGATTCACTTGCTCGAAGTACGTTTCGTCAATCGGAATCCTTAATGACCCAATAGCATCTTGTGAAGGCAAATGTGTCAGGGATTTGAAGTGGCTTTTTCCTTTTAGCAATTCAATCGCGTATTACACTAAGGCGCATCTTTTATTTCTTTTTGACATTGAAATTACAGTGAATACGCTGAACTTGTGTGACAGAGGTATAACTACAGTGTAAAGGAATAACAGATGCTTTGTTATATAGGATACAAAATGTGTGTTATTGCGATAACCATACTTTTTTGCAATGCTATCATAATAAAAAACAAGAAACATATTTGACTAGTATTAGTGCTACTTTTGCTCGAAATTAGCCATACCCTTGTTGATTATAAAGCCTGACAGGTAGTAGAAAAAATGCCTAGAAAGTTCTTGCGGTAAGACAAAAAAAAACAAAAAAAAAAACAAAAAAACAAACAAATTAATGGAGAACAGATTTACCAAACGTTATGTTTCGTAACGCATCAAATCCAAACAAATTAAAACTTACAATGTAACAAAAAACGACATTTTTCGAAGCCAGAACTTAATATCGCACCAATTGAAAGAACAAAATGTACAAAAGCTGAATTTTTCATGGTTGAGTAATAAATATGAAATCAAACTTTTAATGTTAATTCATGCATGAAACATAATATAGCAGCGTACTTCATTGGAGTGGGCTTTATCATATAAGCTTCAAAATTTGCAGACGGCGTTATCACCTGTTAGAGCATGACAAATTATAATTGTTAGCACAAAAGTTACCAGGTAGCTGGTGTACTTCAGTCAGTCTGATATTTGTTTTCTTTCAGGACATGTTAAATATTGATGAACATGTAACGGGTAAGAAATTATACAGCTAAATAATACAGAATAGATTACACATATTTATCAGTAAAACTGTTATTAGAAATCTATCTAAAGATTTTTAGCTAATTTCTAAAGATTTTTGGCTGATTCAGGAAATAGAACGATTTAGATTAAAGTTATTTTATATATCTTCATTTACAGTATCCTATTGATTAATAACAGCAGTAAATTATACTGAAATTTAATAATTATATCACAGATACCAAACAACATGTACACTTGAATGAGGAAGAATATCATTTAAAAATTCAACTGTATGTAAATTTCAATTAAAAATATACAAAGTTGGTTATTCTTAAAATATGCAAGGGCAGACTCATCTGTCCCACAGGGGTGGAACCCCCGTTTGTGGCCAAAAAAAGATGAAAACTTACCCAGCGATTGTACTATTTTTACAGTCACATCTTTCGTTATGCTTCACATCTGGTGCAGCGGAAATTCACGATCATATAATTTTTACGATGCTCATTTTTGAGATACATATGGAGTTCCAACCCGTGTGTCCGATTCATTTCAAACACGTCCGTGAATATCGTGACGTGATGATTTGGTGACATCATGAAGAAAACCCATGTTGTTCATGACAAAAGCAGTTGTAAATAAGTAACTTAAATTCATTATTGGAAAAGCAAGAAAAGAAAGTAAAATGTATTGGTTTCATGTATAAGATAAAACAAAGTAATCCATTATTAAACAAATGTTTTTGCATTTCATTCATTAGAATCCTACTCGAGCAATAGATATATATACCTTCAACTCGAAAACAAAAAAAATTTCTAATTCTGTTCAAGGCAGTTATCAATACTTATTTGTTCCACCAGCTAAAGACATCAGTGCACCAAGAGTTCAGATACTTGATAACAGAAGCACAAATGCAGTTACAATGTTTGTACAACAGTTGCAATATGAGTTATCAAAACGGAATCGCATTGATACTACCGTCATTGAAACATTCAAAGAGGCACTTCCTGAAACGGTTTTAATTGCCGTGTGCAACAAAGGCCAAGTCAGTTCCACTATAACCGCTGTCACACAATGCCTGCATGATGTTGAACGTGATTATCCTTACATGTTTTCATTAAAGACTTACTCTTAAAATAATAAAATTGAGTTGAATGGACATTGTAATGATTTTTTATTATGTTTTGTTGTGACGACAAATACAAATTCTATGTGAAACTAATGTATTAATCCTTTTTTATTAAAACATATTTTTTCCTGAAATGAAACAATACTTACATTTAAGTTGTCCAAGACATCTTGATATAAAACTTATTAATGGCATACTTTATGACCTTTTCTTTTACTTGTAATACATGTTCGTTTTTTTGATGTCATAGCTATACCGTACACAGTAAATGGTATTTAAAAAGTATATCTGTTTCAGACACATTATATTTCAGGTGATCACTACAACAGGATCATTGTAGTAATTGTATACGTTATGAGAAAGGATTCACTTCCAAAACTTCCCTCTAGCAGCGAAGTAAGAGGAGAAGCAAGTTTCAAGAATATAGGACAAGTGGTTGATATGGGATTCGATGACGATACAATTTATTCGTGTGATACAAATAAAAAAGCTATGGACGAAATTTTGCAGTTCTGTAGAGGATTTCATTGCGTTGCCAAGGGGGGAGATCATGCCAACATTTCAATGAATTCGGCCTCAAATCAACCAAAAGATTCCATGGTTCAAGCCTGTGATCAAAAGACAAATCCGTCCCAAGATGGACAATTGGTGAATGCGCCCAGAAACAGCACTGACCTTGATGTTAAAAGTGATGCATAATTTTTATATCAACTAGACTAAATATCTAAATAATGTTTTATTCAATATACAACAAACGCGTTCTAAAATTTTATATATATTTTTAATAGGTTTGACAAAAGTCTGTTACATAAAGAAGAACTTATTTATTTCATTTCGTATTGCCCTTAATCAAGTCAAATACACTGCTTAATTAATAAGTATTTTAAGATAACAGTTTAGATATAAAATAATTCAACGAATATTGTTTAGATTTTTTAAGTATTTTGAAATTCGTGTTAAAAATACCTTTATCATAATGCTTAAAAATTATTTACAGGATATCCCCGCATAACGGTATATTTGATGATCCCGTCTAAAACGAAAGCACTGTCAGCGTTTATTGAAAAGTTTCAAACCAAACTGATCGAGTTTGGAACCGCGGTTAAGGAAATGGAGCCCAGTGAAGCCAGAAACCTTGATCCTAGTCTGTTGTTGATAATAATTTGCAATGCTGCATCTCGCATTGAATCCGACATAACAAAATGCTATGACGAAAACTTACGTGCGTAAATATATTTCTAAATTGATTTAAAAATAATCGAAAGAGGCATTCATTTCTTTCAAATAACATTCATCTGGCAATATTATATAGCATTACGTTTATTGCTTTATGCTATATGTCATTTTTGTGTCGCCTTGAACAGGCCACATATAGGGGTTACTTTTGTCGGCGGTGTCGTTGTCGGCGTCCCCTAAAGCTTGTCCGGAGCATAACTCAGTCACTTTAAGTCTGATTGACTTCAAACTTGGTATGCAAGCTTCTTTCAATAACGCAAAGTACAATGCACAAGGACCGGTACTCTGCACTTCTTAATTTTTTAGTTATTGCCCTTTGTTAATTTTCACACTTTAATTTTGTCCGGGCCATTTCTCTTCAACTTTAAAAGCTATGGACTTGAAACTTCATAGGATGATAGATCTCATTTAGAAGAAGTGCGGTGCATAAGAACCGGTACTCTGCATTTCTTTATTTTTTAGTTACAGCCCGTTGTTAATTTTCATACTTTATTTTTGTCCGGGCCATTTCTCCTACAGTATAAAAGCTATGAAATTGAAACTTCATAGGATGATAGATCTTTTTCAGAAAAAGTGCAGTGCACAAGAACTGGTACTCTTCATTTCTTATTATTTGAGTTATTGCCCTTTGTTAATTTTCATACTTTATTTTTGTCCGGGTCATTTCTCCTAAAGTATAAAAGCTATGGAATTGAAACTTCATAGGATGATAGATCTCATTAAGAAGAAGTGCAGTGCACAAGAATTGGTACTCTTCATTTCTTATTTTTTGAGTTATTGCCCTTTGTTAATTTTCATACTTTATTTTTGTCCGGGCCATTTCTCCTAAAGTATAAAAGCTATGGAATTGAAACTTCATAGGATGATAGATCTTATTAGGAAGAAGTGCAGTGCACAAGAACTGGTACTCTGCATTTCATATTTTTTGAGTTATTGCCCTTTGTTAATATTCATACTTTATTTACGTCCGGGCCATTTCTCTGAAAGTATAAAAGCTGTGGACTTGAAACTTCATAGGATGATAGATCTCATTAAGAAGTGCAGTGCACAAGAACCAGTACTCTGCATTTCTTATTTTTGAGTTATTGCCCTTTGTTAATTTTCATACTTTGTCCCGGTCATTTCTTCTTAAGTATGAAAGCTACGGACATGAAACTTCATAGGATGATAGATCTTATTAAGAAAAACTGCAGTGTACAAGAATCGGTACTCTGCACTTCTTTTTTGCGAGTTATTACCCTTTATTAATTTTCATACTTTATTTTTGTCCAGGCTATTTCTCAGAACTTAAAAAATATATAAAAGATATGGACTTGAAACTTCATAGAATGATAGATCTTATTGATAAGAAGTGCAGTACATAGAAACTGTTGCTCTGCACTTATTATATTTTGAGTTATTGACCTTTGTTAGTTTTCATATTTCATTTTTTTCCTGGCCATTTCTCCTAACCTATATTGTTCACAAGGCGACACATCCGAATCGCGGAGTTCTAGTTGAAATCGTTAGATTGTTATGCTTAGGTATAGACTAAAAATATTTAAAAATATATAATAATTGAATGATTTAACATTTTTGCAGTAATTTAGCTTCAAATAACATTAACAAAGCTATTTGAGCCGCGCCTCAACAAAACCAACATAATGGGTTTGCGATAAGCATGGATCCAGACCAGCCTGCGCATCCGCGCAGTCTGATCAGGATCCATGCTGTTCGCTATCAGTTTCTCTACTTGTAATAGAGTTGGTAAACGAACAACATGGATCCTGATCTGACTGCGCGGAAGCGCAGGCTGGTCTGGATCCATGCTGGTCGCAAATCCATTATGTTTGTTTTGTCGTGGCGCGGCTCATTTTATTTTTTGACAAATGTACACCGTGAGAGACGTAAGGATACTTGCGTATTTTCATTTCCCATATTTGTGCAGGGTAATGTTTACAAGCAATACTAAGTTGAATGTTGAAATTCTGCATAGACTATTTTCTTTAAAGAACAGTACACATACTCTGATTTTGTTATCTTACAGGTGCCGTTAGAAACAGAACAATTCTGATAGCAGTGCATGTTGTAACAAAAGGACAAGAGCCAAAAATGTTCACAGAACTGAAACTTGCGAATGACATCTTTAAGGAAACTCCTTTGATAAAGATTATCGATATGGCTTTCGATACAAACATTGGAATGTATGAATGCACAATGAACGACACTGCAGACAATTATCTTCGTCAACTTCATACAATCTGAACTTCCACTGAAAACTTTATGGGCCTATTAATCAATCATTTATTTGTTTTCTTTGAGTTCCTTATCAGTTACTAATTATTTCTTATGTATGTTTTTAGTGATTAACCTTCCCATGCTCTTCCTTGTGCCCTGTCCTGTTTTTGTTTGGGGTCCTCCTGGGTTCCATGTCACTTGCTCTTGTTGCTGGATCGTGTGGGGGCTGCGTTCATTGAACACCGCCTTTCCTTGTTGATTTTGTTTATCATATTTTAAGAGTATGAAACCTATTTCTTTATAGTCACCAATGCGAAGAGCTGTCTCTGCTACTCTGTTAAATAAGTTTTACTTTTATCAACATTTGGAATACATGTATATTAAATCAATGTGTTGTTGTTCTAGGTGTTGTGATTGTTGTTGATTTCGTTCACTTCTCCTCTGTCTTCTTCATTTTGTTTATTATATTTATATGCATACAAATGTTCGCATATTGTATTTCTAAGAAAAATCTAGTTTGAGAGGGTACACGTGTCTTAATCCCCAACCTTTGCATACAGCAACCGTATTATCTTAGCATTAAAGCTATTGATTGGTATATACCATATTGGGTAGGAAAGTACGGTGTTCCGTTAGTGCTAGACTAAGTGCCTTTCCTCTGAGACCAAAACTCACGACTAAGACGATACGATGGTGACAATACGCCAATACATACTGTCACCATCATACTATTCACTATGGTACTGTCATATTGTCACCATAGTATTGCCGCACTGTCCCCACGGAACTGTCCCGCTTCACAATCGTACGATCGCTTCCAGTCAAACTTGCGCAAATATTTAACTCAGCATTCATTGGTGCACAATCAAAAAATGTTTTCCTCAAAATCAATTGTATAAACTTTGTTGTCTTTTTTATACAAACAGATATCATGTGTTCGTTCTCACGTTAACGGCTTGTTGTGATTATAATAAAAAATAACAGACAACGGCACTATATATCCATAATAAATGCTAAGAATTTTTAGAGAAAAAAAAGGGTTTGGCGAAGTTTTGAACTTCTACATCGCGATAACTATTCCGCCGTACTTACCACTAGTCGAGTGAAAAATCTGTACTAGATTAAAGATTATTTGTAAATCGAAACTTATAACACCTTCTTCCTGCCCCAAAACACCCAGGTCAATATAAGTTAACAATATTGATCAATTTGTTTGCAAATTATTGTCGATTCAAACCGACAGCTTAGGAGAAAATGCTACGAAAATCAAGTAAATACTCATGCAATAACTTACTTTTAGAAAAATATACAAAATTGTTAAAAAATCACTTCCGACTGTAAAAAAATCTGGAAACATAGTGATCCCTCGGAAGCATTAATCACAACAAATTACAAGATAATTGCAGACTCGGTTTGATTGAGTCTGTACATGAGGGATAATGAAAAGTGCAACATGACTCAAGCCCCCTAGCACCGGCTTGAGCGGTACTCAATTCTCAACACTTTATAGTGGTGGCATCAATGATACCGAAGGACAAGAAAATATAACAACACTGAAGAGAAGTACGGGGCAACATTTTACAGCTGCCACACAGCACTTGACACCTGCTGGTGTGAAGTATAAAAATCCAGAAACAAACTGATCCCTCGAAAATCACAATACCTGAAGTGAATCATAGAATTTATATTCCAAACTCTGCAGGTTTCCAAATGTTGGCTTGTTTTTATTTCTGCGGACATTATTTCTGCGGCACATTCTTTACACAACACGTAATTTAAATCATGTTATCATAAGATGTCACCAACAACAATTTAATATGTTTACTTTCGGTACAGACTAACTTGTTGTATCGCATCCATCACCAAAACAGAGATAAATTACAACTGAGGTCAACAATTTGGACAAAAAAAGAAAGCGTTGTTTTTTAAACGTTATTTAAATTATTCACATGAGTCTTCTTGAGTACCGCTCAAGCCGGTGCTAGGGGACGTGATGGATGTTGCATTTATTCATTACTTCTCATATACAGACTGAATCAAATCGAGTCTGCGATTCTTATATAATTTTGTTGTGATTAATGCTTCCGAGGGATCACTTTGTTTCAAGATTTCAATACTAAATTATCGGTTAAAAAGGGCGAAATTTCAGTCAACAAATACCACACACATTTTGATGGAAACCACTCTAGAGGGGTGGGTGCATTTAGAGCTGGGTTCATTGCCATTAGTTCTTGATACTTGGTTTTATGGGGGTTGCGTTCATTAAACGCCGCCTTTCCTTGTTGATTTTGTTTATCATATTTTTTGGCCTTGCAAGTACTTTCATGCGTGTTTGCGTACGTTCAGATGTTCAGCTAGAATAAACAACCCTTTCAGGACGGACATGTAATTGTGCATCTAGGCGTTTTCTTGTAGGTTATCCTGTATTTGTAGAGTTATTGCCTTTGCTTAATATAACTTTGCAAATTTCAAAATTTGTCAAACGAAGACCTAAAATATTTGAACTAGATTCGTAAAACTTTACATAAATGTTGACCAGCATCTAAAGTTGTGCACTTAAGGGATTTACCTTGTTATATAATCATTTATTTGCAGAGTTATTGTCCGTAACTTGCCAAAACACTTGCAATGTTCAACGTATGTCATGCGTAGCCCAAAAAAGCATTTGACCTAGAGTCATAAAACTTAATAAAAGTTCTATTAACGATTGCAAGGGCATATATTTTATATTTGTAGATACATTGCTTTTGACTTGGGTACAATTTGTAACTTGTGTTGCGTGTAGCTCAAAAAGTATTTAATCCAGAGACATGAAACTGTACATAAATGTTGATCAGTGTGTGTACTTTATTACCTGCGGTTTTGCTTGATGTATTTGCTCAGAGTATGTACAGCAATTGTTATTAACTTGTAAAAGCCTTCCAAAATGTTGCGTCACGTCAACCTTTCAAATTGCTTGTGCTAGAATCAAGATTGTTAATCAGCGTGTGACGTCGTGCACCCTAAATTTTGCGTGTAGATTATTTCAGTTTATTTAAGAGTTATTGCCCTTGATTAAGTATAAATTGCAATTTTCTATTATGATCTTGAGTAACTAAAATGTATTTGACTCATTAAACTTAAAAGGACTGTTGATCATCTTGTGTAGATGTATAGCTTGTGTTTGCTAGGTTTTGATTTCTGTTAAGCATACTTCACGCCTACTAAACGGTGGCTCTTTCACATTTTGGTGATCTGTTTAAATGAGAGCCATCGACACTTCCGTTGCAGAGCCCTCGATGAAAACAAGACTGAAAAAGGTAATAAATTTTAGTAAAAATATCAGTTTAAAAAGATCATGCTTGTTTTTCAAAAATCGAAGAATGTCATGCCACGTAGAACAATTTTTTCTCATCATGTTTGGTGAAGTTTCGATAAGAAATACCCTAAAATGACGTTGCTAGAACTTTTACCAAATATAACCTTGTGGGTTTTCTTTTACGAGGAGACACATTTTGAGTGATTTCCCTACCGTAAAGTAGATGCTGGCCCATGTATTCGTGTATATAGCATTGTCCCAACCTCCTCTTTGGACCAACACAAAAAATAACCTACAGAACTTACTTGAAAACCAAATAATCAATTTTTTATTATTGTGATCGAGCCATCGACACGGTGCTGGCGCCATCGGCAATGTGAATGAGCCCTCGAAAATGTGATGGAGCCAACACTATCATTCATTTTGTGATAACATGATGGAGTTTAACCGTTACTTAACCTAACTGATTAACATATACAATTTCGCATGCATCGTATCATTGGGTTGACATATTGAATTAAAATACGCGATTTGATTATTCGAATTCCCCTTATTCATGTCGAGATTCCACCTGAAATTTACATAAATTTCAAAATTAAAAACTGAAATTTTACTGATTAAAGTAAAAAACTATTTTTGTGTGCTAATCTGTTAATATTTTATACAAAGAGGTTTTACTTCAATTTTCATGAATTCGAATAATCAAATCGAGTATTTTAATTCAATATGAGAACCCAATGATACGATGCATGCGAAATTGTATATGTTAATCAGTTAGGTATAATAACGGTTAAACTCCATCATATTATCACAAAATGAATGATAGTGTTGGCTCCATCACATTTTCGAGGGCTCATTCACATTGCCGATGGCGCCAGCACCTTGTCGATGGCTCGATCACAATAATAAAAATTTGATTATTTGGTTTTCAAGTAAGTTCTGTAAGTTATTTTTTGTGTTGGTCCAAAGAGGAGGTTGGGACAATGCTATATACACGAATACATGGGCCAGCATCTACTTTACGGTAGGGAAATCACTCAAAATGTGTCTCCTCGTAAAAGAAAACCCACAAGGTTATATTTGGTAAAAGTTCTAGCAACGTCATTTTAGGGTATTTCTTATCGAAACTTCACCCAACATGATGAGAAAAATGTTCTACGTGGCATGACATTCTTCGATTTTTGAAAAACAAGCATGATCTTTTTAAATTGATATTTTTACTAAACTTTATTACCTTTTTCAGTCTTGTTTTCATCGAGGGCTCTGCAACGGAAGTGTCGATGGCTCTCATATAACCAGATCACCAAAATGTGAAAGAGCCACCGTTTAGTAGGCGTGTACTTAAGGATATAAAATTGAGATTTGAAATTCTTGCAGCTCAATATTGGGAAAAAAATCAAAATGTCAGCATTGGAAAAAATTGGTTTGCCCAAATCACTTTGGGGCACGGAAAGTCACGAATAAATCCCTTTATCCGTCTGTAATACTGTCCTGTTGAAGGTCAGTAGACTGACAAAACAGTAGAAATGTGTGTCCTGTGGACACGATTCTAGTTTTTCATGTTTAAACAATTATTTTTACAATCCGGTGCTTTTGTCACCATACACAAAGAGGTCAAAAACAAACGGTGATATTAAAACAGCCAATGCACACTGGTTAGGAACTTCGTAGATATGCTGGATCAATCAACACGCGAAACCCCAGGTGCACAACTTCACATGCTGGGCAACATTCCTGTAAAGTTTCATGACACTCTAGATCAAATACTTCTTACTAATCCATTTATATTTGTTAAAATATTTTTTCTCCACCATAAATAAACATATTTTGTTATCTCTAGACCTAAGATACTGTATTTTGACTGGCTCTTTTTTGTATTACCTTATATAAAAGTTTGACAACCAATAACAAATAAAGCATAATGATTCCCAACACTTTTAATAATTTTTGTAATCAATATTTTGACAAATGAGCATTCCAAAAATAGGTGTAACAATGTTTCATGTTCTGAGTTACAAAAAATACACATATTTGTATCTGATAAATTAGTTTTCAAAGAAGATAGATAGTAGCTAAATTTTCTATGTGTTAGTCTTGTCTGAAACC